GTTAAATTCGAGTTTTTATAACTGAGAACAACTGTATGTTTGCACAGAAAAATGGTGCTACCATTAAGCCAATTTACAATGTCAGCTTTTTTAGCCTCATTTTTTACAACTAATAAAGTTCGTTCCGTATATTTTCACCTGCTTATTACTATCTTCTAAGATGGATGCTATACCAATTCTTAAACTATATTATTAAATAAGGAGAGATTTTTCTTAATAGGTAATTACCGCAGATCTGCCGGGAAACCGTTTCAATTGTGCGAAGTTTTGGGCGAACGAACCGTGCGGTCGCACGAAAAAGGTCTCTCCCCTGAAGCCCCGCTCGATCATAGGATATCTGATTTCCGCAACCGTATTTCAGCCGATGCTATTCTCGGCCTCTGTCGACAAGCTTAACAGTAAATATGACGACGCTTGACGAAAACTAGATCCCAAGGGCGGCTAGAAGATGCCCCCAATCACTAGTTGACTTTTGTTCAAAGATGTTACGTAATAGTTCGAGCTTACGAGGATGTCGACGATAGAATCGCCTATCTAACGCACTGTATAGTAGATTTTTTATTAGCATGATTTTTAATAACTCCGTTTAGATTGCCTACATAATGTACAGCTCTCATACAATTAAAAAGCCATTATTGGCCAAAATGCATTGCGGATACACCTGCCCTCTCGGTCGGCAGGGCTACACCCCGAGAACCACATGTAAGTTGCCCTTACAGGAGAACTGATGTGATTCGACCAGAAGAGCCTTCGTTCATAAATAAACCATTATATAAGCTCATAACTAATGGAATCCGGTGTATAATTATATGTTCAAACGATCTCCGTAGTTTTTTAAGGGACAGTTTGCCTCTAAAGCTTCCGAAAATACACATTGGTTCATATCTGAGAATGGAAGTGACAGGTTCTACAGCAAAAAAAAACCGAGCTTCCGCAGCGTGGCCGTTCGCACCGTTACACTCTACGAGCTTTTTGCAAAAGCAAACATTCTCAATGGGAACGAAAGAAATGTTCTATATAGTACAATGTCACATTTTATCAATGAAATTACTATCTGGTTCGGCATTACCGTAAGCTCTATAGAAACACAAAGATACATAATGATAAAGCTCCTAACCGCCTTCAAGCGAACCAGCGTGCCCAACCCTTCTTTCGCCTAGGAACGATTTCGATTTGAATGATACTAGAAAAACCAAGTAGCAAAGACCTCCAAGAGCAGCCTAAACCCGCTGCGAATGTCGAGGTAATACAGAGGCTTTGCGAACGTAGTGATCGATAACTGCTGAATACAATCTGGGATGAGGTTTCAATTATGGAGCAATTGTAGCAAATAAACGAGACTTCAATGACACCACTAAGATAAATCGTGATCCGTAAACCTAGAGTGAAAATCATAGTGATGATGTTTTTCGAAATAGTTCTTTCCAACAGAAGCGAACGCATCGGGGTTTAGTTAAGCGATCACACACAGCCAAAGGGTCCTACTCCTCCAAAAAAGCGGTGCCTGTTGGATATTAAATTGTCCTGTACGGCGGAATAGTCCGCGGGCGCATTGCACAGGAACGGCAAGTGTTCTTCCAAAAAAAAAAGCAAAAATTGAGAGCATGCATTGCAAATGTCGAGACAAATTTATCATGCGAGATTGTCCACTTAGAATAAGAATGCGGTCCGTTGGATAAGCTTTGAATAATGTCCAGGGTCTGTCTAGAATCAGTTTTGTAGTACGGTGAAAAGTTTTTGGTAAGTGCAGCAGTGAAACATAAAAGAAGCTGGATGTGACAAAAAAATCTAGTCTATCGTTTTTGCAGTAGATGATCAGTTTCCTAGGCAAACCAGCGTTGAATCACCCCAGATACTGAGACAGTGCTGAGCAGCGTAGCGTGCCCCATGCTCGAACTGTAGCTTGCAAGCGGAGGAAATCAGCTAGTTTGCTTGATATATAGATAAAAATACCCCATACACGTGCTGTTAGAAAAAGTCTAACGGGAGAAAGGAAAAAAATTCTAATGGAATACCTAAAGTAAAATAAAAAACTACCTTCAAATTAACCTAACAGTACATTAGGATAAGAAAAACGTAATGGTAGATGAAAGAACCAAAAGTCACTCGCGTTGACTCGCGCTCTAACAGAAAGAGAGAACTGATCCTGTGTAGCTCTGAAACTGAAAAGTCTTTTGCCTCTACGCGTCAAAAAAAATTAACTTCGAAAGCGTTACTGTTTAATATACGCCTTATAGGGTCGCTAGTGTCAAGCCAACAATTTTCAGAGGAAATACAATAATTTTTGAACCAAGTTTTAAATTAAATTTCATTCAAATTGAACCAATGATGAGCAAAGCGCATAATTATTGATAAGTTCACAATTAGATTCATTCCATTAGAAAAGTACGCAACCGAAATGAAGTCTGTGTTCGGTTTAACTACTATGAAGCAATCTACTAACTTTAAACTCACATTGATGTATTTCTAAACGGTTTAACGCAATGACTGCACAGCCAGTGGCCCGCTTGCCCGTAACTCTGTCATCATCCATATGCTCATGGGTTTCACTAGCTAAGAAAAATAAGGGAAAATCACTTGAAAACGGAAGCGTTAGCAAAAATAAACATATGTGCAAGGTATTTACTTATTGTGGCTCAATCCTATTCCGTTTCCCGACCTTGCTCTTACCCGATCTTGTCCAAGCTACGTTTTTCGTTTAGAAGTTGTTAGAAGTTTGATAGTTGTGTGTCTTTCGTAACTATTACATTTAAATAAATTTGCATGTCAGTTATAACTTTAACAACCTATTAGAAATAAGTGATCGAGAACGGTCATCTGAACAGAACGACGGTGAATACGTTTGGTTTTTCCGCGGGACGTTTAGCTAAAGCTGAGTTAAATAAATTGACCTATTAAATTTGGCGCCAAATAAGAAGTCCATCAGGGTATGCTCACAACAATTCCTTTGCTGCAGAGGAGAAAGGCAATACGAGTGGTCGAAGATGGCGTGATGAAACTTGTATTAGACTATTTACAAACAAGACGCCGCAGCGGTAAGTAGCTATCTATAGATAACACTAATAGGCAACACTAATTACTTACTAACAAAGTCAAATTTTCAAAGCTCTTATATTAAATTCAAACATTGCAATCTTCTGTATCTGCTTTTTCCCCATCATATTCCTTATCTCACTTCATTTTATACGATATAAACCATATAACGTACTGCTTATTATGTTTCCTTTGACGAGAAAAGGCGGATAGGTTTGCCGCTTCGATGGCAAAATGTTGGCTCTCATAATTCGGCCTCCAGATTGTTCTGAAGTTTTTCGTAGAAAGTCAGAGAGAATCCACACATTTTAGCTCTGGTTGGATCGTCGTGACGAGCACAGCTGAGCGTTAACACCGGTCAAGTTTCCAACTTGAGGGATATTATGTTTGCGAGTAGTAACGCACTTGTCGGGCAACATTTTTTGCATCTGAAGCAAAGTCGCAAGGCCACACGGATGAACTTAAAAGCCATGTGGTTTTTCACGGAAATTATTCCCAGGAAAGCTAACGATATTATTTATGTGCGCTTTGTAAAACTTATGGATACTCATCCATTGTAATGCATAAGAACAGTGCGAAAATGCGCAAACGTAATCTTTGGCGTACATAAACAAATTTTTCTGCAATTTTTAAAAACTATTTATTATCTTCTTTTTCCGGCACCGAATTTCTTGGTTAAAAAGTTCTGTTTCTATAATATGAATGTGCTTTGGGTTTTCGCGTAAACGTTACCAATCCGAAAGATTTCTGATAAACTCAAAGATACTTTCAGATTTCTCTAATTGGAACTGGATTATGCATGCCGCAATTGTTCTTTTAGCTACACTTCAGCAAGGGAAACATTTGGAAAAATATTTACACTATCGTTGCTATTCTAGTCAGATCTATAGGTTTTCTGTCACACTGGTTTAAAAGTAGCACGCTGAATCAAACACTGACGATCGTAGATTGTCATTGATGGTTTATGCGTTCTTGAAACCGTTTAATAAACATATTTTAGTAAGTTTTTATTGTCCACTGGCGTGGCTTTACTAGAGACAAATCCACAGCCGCATTAATAAATGCTCAGGCTTTTAGATAGGTAACTGCCGCGCTCACAGATCTTTTTCTGTTAAATTTGGGTATAACATTAGTATAAGTGGTACGGGTATATCCGCCCTCCCGCAGGGTCCTCCGCCGGCCGGGCCAATTTGATTCTTTACTTTTATTCCAGGCCGTCGCGTCAGGTGCAAATGATATGCTTACGATATTAAATTGTACGATTACCCTAATGTATATCTAAGAAGCAATTTATGATAAGTAACGTGTCCCAATGTCCCTGAAGAAGAAATAGATATCAGTATACATTTAATGGAAAAGTTAGTCCCGTGTAAAAGTTAGCAAAGGTCCTAGTATTATACTAAACCTCATAAAAACAAGCTTATTTATAATACTATCATCATTCCCTAATAGTTCACTTGAAATCATTTTAAGAAAATGTACGTATATCTATGAAGTCTAACGTCCTCAATCACGGCAGCTCGTCGAGGCCCATAGGCGTATACAAGCCAAATTTATTCGCTACATGATATCAAAATGTGATATCGAAGACAAAGAAGCCTTCATTGTTATTTTATTGCTTCATGACATGTACAACTATGTATGCGTAACAGGATTGCGTCGATGAGGGCTTTTAGGTAATCCACTTTTTTTCAACAGTAACGTAAAGTTTTCGAATCGTAGTAGTGGACTATAACATCTGTCAAAGCAAGTTAAACAGAAGAGATGGATAACATTTTTAAGGGAAAAAAAATGTGAAAATTTCTAGGAATACAACTGTATTTTATAAATTAGGCATTTGAATATGTATATAATAATTAATCTTTGCGCTGACAAATTAATTACTGATATTCAACCTAATCTGAAATATGATGGCACTAGTAGGTAGCTTTGTACAAACGTTTAATGATAGCCAAAGGAAACAACTATCTAGTTCGATACGATAATTTTTTTAAAATAACGAATCCTTGAATTTGACTAGCTTTTTATGGATATTCAAGAGCATCAGTGTTATGTGGCTCCTCTGAGGCGTGTGTGCAACGACATTGTATAAATATTCTTTATTATTTTCGGAGATACGCGGAAGAGGTCAAAAAGTTCAGCCCGCGAACAATCTAGAGCTCGCAACGTAGCTTACCCTCCTTAGACTGCATCACGTCACATCAAGACTTAGCCTAACAGCTATCTATTTACAGGCAGCTACATTGTCAACGACGATTCAGGCTAACCTTTTACTTGCGAGAAGTTCGTATGTTTCAGGCCTGCAGAAAAACCCATGTAACCGATGGGTGCCGATAAGCTTTTAGGCTGCATGAAGGGCAAACAGGTTTGCCATCTCGTCAAGCTACAACAGAATACCAAATTGCAGCCGCCACGAACGCTTCATGATCCCTAACGATGTAGTGCAACCGTAGCGCTATGGAACGAGCTAAGTTGCCCCTCTCTTGTAATAGAAGTCAAGCAACAGGGGGGGAGCAATGCGATTTTTTGGGGGCGCGCGCGTCACAAGGCATATAGTGACGGTACAAGATGGCAAGTACACGGTGCAAGATGGCAAAACTTGGCGTATGTCGCATGTCTATGTGGCCGTCGCCTGGTTCCCGCTCTGGTGTCTGTCGACCAGTACTACCCTATGGCAAGCAGACGGTAAGCAGATGCATCATGGGGATGAGTTCGCTATTACGTACATTGTTATGTTAATACGAAATTGCCAGTGAACGCCACGGTGTATTTCTTAAGCAGTCTATGCAGGCTGAGAATGAAATTTTGGCTCGGTTTATGTAGTGGCAAACAATGTACTAAAAATGTGGCAGAGAGGATAGTCAGGCTACGCATCGATTGAATCAGGAGTAATTGTATTGTCATTTGAAATAAGTTTAGTGATGGACCTTAAAGTTGAGGCAGTTTTAAACTCTTCAGTCGTCAGAAATGGGTCTTCAAAGACATTTTCATAGATCTCTCAAGTTCTAGTAGTCTGACCTCAGCTCTGTCGCACTTCCTGGCAGGTTTTTATGACGTGAAAAAAAATCATTATAAAGGTGCACCGTGTCTGTGTCTTTAGAAACAGGTTGATTCATTATATGAAGCACATATTGAAAATGAAGGATCCATAATGAAAGAGGCGGCTTATGACTGTAACCACCTGTCATCAGGATCGACAGTAAGGCCATATCGGTGCGCTGTATTGCACTCTTCGCAGTTTAGCTAATTTATATTGGAGAAGCAGAAAGCTCTATCCAAGCCTCGTACGTATAACGTACGCCTACCGGATAAGCAACAGCACGAATGCCTTCTCGTCGTTTGAAAAACTATCATTTACCTAAACGCTTAATGGTTCAACTAACACGCAATGATTCGCGTCCCAATCGAAAGGTTTATGTCACGGTGGCGCATGGGAACTAAACAGAATTGTAAACCGTGCTCGAAGCTCGTGTCTACGATGTACTTATTTGGTGATATTGAACTCTAGTAGATAATTTCATAGCAATTGTTAAACTTAGAACATCTGTCAAGGTTACGTCGGTAATAACTTACCTTTATCGCCTGTATCGCCTCTCAAGAAATACACATTTTCCACGTAGTTCTGCTCGATGTGTATAACACGCAAGACTATTCCCCCCCGTTTAGGCCTACCTACTAAGTGTTCTCATCGAATGGGAATATTACAGACAGGGATGTATTGACCGGATATAGCAGCGGAAACACCATACAACGGGCACGTGCTAGCTCTCGTTCTGAATTGATTCATCTGACCTTAACGCCGAATGCGTTTCTTCGCTCAATGATCCATTCTTCGAGCTGGACATTCCTTGAAGCGTCATTCAATGGACACGAATCGTATCGCTGCTTGCACGTGCCTGCTGAATGTACGTACTTATACGCATATGCTGCAACGGCTTCTGTATTTAGACATCTTTGTTGAGACATCTCAGTAACATGTCAGATCAGTATCCGTAATGCAGTGCGCTCTCTCGACCGCTATAGTAATACTGAATATCAAATGTTTGATAGCGGACTACACACTATTTAGGGAGAAACTAATTTCGATTGAAGCAATAGTGGATACTGGATCTACTCTAAAAACTTAGAATTACAGCAGCAGCAGCAGCAGTAGCAGTAGCAAGTTCTAAGTTAAAACACTATCCCGTCTAAATAGAAGCTCTTCTGATACTATTTGTTCCTAACCTGTATCGTGCGTAGAAGGTGCGTATTTTACATACATTCGTGGTGACTCTTTGGTTCAATGCTATTTTTGTTCACTCCGATCACAGCTGCGATTCGCAATAGGTGTAAGAATATTAAGGTAATCAAACGGAGCAATAATACAACTTTGCTTGGCGTGGAAAAAAAGATGGCAGCTTTAGTTTTAACGATATGTTATCATGAAGATGATTGTGCATGAAGCAAATCTATACCCAACTAATAGAAAAGCATATATGGCGATATACGACTCTGAGGATCTCGTGTTACCTCAAAAACGTAGTATTTTGTCCAACCAACCCTTTTTTTTTTTTTTTTTTTTTGTCATACAATCGGCTTCTTTGCATTGAGCAATTCAAACGCCATATTCCAACTTCGTAGGATTCACGAGCAGACCGGGCTTCAAGAAGCAGTTTCTCACACTTACAGACAGTTGAATTTGTCGGTCTAAAAATAGCAGGTCAAACTATATGATCATAGTCATAACCTACGCTGTTACATAGACCGCTCTACTTTAGAACGTCCCTGTGCCGTTCATGGCAAGACACCTCTATGCTATGTGGTATCCCTCTAGGTTTTTCACCGTAGTTTAAATTTTCTAACTTTTTACGTCACTATCTTTGTCTTCGCTATTCTTCATTGCATTCTTACTGGTTCGCTCTTTTCATGCTTCTCTTCAGTTAGTAAACAGCTCTGGTCTCGCTACTCCTTTCACTGGCGGCTGGCCGTTGCCGCCATAAGTTTTTCCATACGTTTATTTCCTTTTAGTGCCTTGACCTCCCCGTTTTTAGCCTCTTCTTGAATTACGCCACTAGTGCCCCCGCCTTGGCCACAGCCGGCTCCGACGGAAACGGGCAAATATGAGATGATCTCTGAAATTCGGTACTTTCATTTCGCTGCTCGCCCAGTCTCTGCTGCTGAGCTAAGTCCTATTTTTTCCAGCTAGGAGCGCCTATGTCGTAAATCAGGTCGTGTTTCACTTACGACTTGGATGGGCTGCGCAGCGGCGGGCCAACAAGGCATGAGTTCAAATCTACGCGTTACCGGCACTAACCTTTCCTTTCGTTTTCTTCATCACTTCTATTCGTTACTCAACGGTCGTACGAGGAAAGCCCTACGACTGCAATGGGACGCCTTCAAAAAAGCTTAAATATATAGCGTATATGTATGCAACATATGATTAGACCGTTATTTGTGAAGCAGCGGAAGAACAGAATCGGCCCTTATTATAGTACGTTTCGACTACAACACTGCTCTCGTCCGCTCGGCTCCGAAGCAGCATAACGAAAGCTAGGTTATAGCGGTAATATTCAAATCAGATTTGAAGAACCGGCCGTTACTGAATACCAGACGATGAGTCTGTCAACCAGGGCTGAATTGAATAGATTAGTAACTTTCCTCCTAGGTAGCTTTTATCCGGGGAGCGGATAACTTCCTATCATACCATTTGAGAGAAAGTGACAGTTTTGATTTAATGGTTGAGTGTATACAGATGAAACATACTAGTCTTTTTTTGGTGTTGATGAGGTGCCCAAGTGCATTCTGTAGGTGCAAAATAAGAAACGCTATTATAGAAGAATAAGGAGCTGAACTCTGTTTTATTAGCATTGAATTTTTGACTAAAGGATGTCGCCTCTATCGTGGCGTCTATGTCTCGATTAAGTTCTATATCGCTAGCTGGATACGTTTTCGAAGTGTCAATTATCCAGTTATTCCTAGGACGTCGCTTTGTTGAAATAGGTCTCGCGAAATGATCCTTCAACAGGCAATTTACGGGTATTTCTTTTTGTTGCCAATACGCAAGATATCTGAGAGTTTCCCATATTCGAAAAATCCAAATTTGTTAGCGAAGGCAAGGTGTCAGCGAAATCTCGTCGTAGCCTAATATTAGCTTTGCAGTTGGATCCTCTTGTGGAGGCTGGCGTCAGCGATTGGATTCCTTTTCCAAACCGCCAGATTCCTAAACGTGCTAAACAAAATGTCTACGATGTACAACTGATATGCGAACGGGTATGTTATTTTGCAATTCATGAAAACAGAATACGACCTATTAAGGAAAACGCAGCTTTTCTTTCTTTTTTACGCGAGTTTTATAATATCCTATATTAGACTCTTTCCGCTATTACCTCTTTGTATCCACTCGGAACTTACGTTGGTAAAGTTCTACTAGCTTAGAATAATGGCCGGTCTGAAGAGACGCAAAGTTTCTCGCCTTGTTATTTTCTTCTCCCCCATCATCGAAGTAAGCACAAAACAAAACGACGACGATTCAAATAAGGGATAATTGGGGAAAAGTCGAAAGCACCACTACACAGAGAGGAATACAGCATTGGATAAATCGAGCGCAGAAAAAAAAAGGAGTTAAGTACAAGTGGCTGCAATAAAGAAGAATGAACAATTGTAGTTGTGGCTAAAGGGGCTTTAGCACGTAAGACGACGACAAAAAAAGGTTTTTAATTATTGCTACCTTGAGGGTGCGCATGGAAATCTCTTCCACTGCATGGGGCACCCCCCGTTTCCCCGGAGGGGTACAGGCCGTTATTAGTGCGATAGAAATAGTGATGTAGCAAGAGTTCACACTAAATGTTGCACGTGTGTTCGTCAAGCAATGCGAATGTCTCTTACTCGCTTGCTGGTTAGTAGATAGTTAATCACCCGCAATAATTGATTTTTTCATGAAACTTTGGTATATAAATCAATCACAACTTTCGACTGCTTCGTTTGCGCGCAAAAAATTCGAAATGTGTCCGGGTTTCTGTAGCGATTAGAACGTTGGCAGACCACATCAGCCACTAAGAGTGAATAGGAGTAAGTAAAAGCTAACGGTAGTTGTCGTTGTTTACCCGTCTGAAGGGTAACGGACAAAGCTTTCTCAGTTTATGGCGCTATATCCACGCTGCAAATGAACTCCACGGTGGAATGATGGCAAAGCAGTAAAAGACGTCGAGGACGCGCGCAGATCAAAAATCATCATCTGAACTTCGCTCAAGAACGATACCACTTATCAGTAGTGTTTCACCTTAAGCTCAACATGTGTACCCATACAAAAGTAAATCTTATTAGGGTCAAACATGGGATGCGAGTGCAACTGCCTGTTCTCGCAGCATGAACCGAGTCGACCTTTACAAAACTTTTTCTATCACGTTCGCTAGTTTCCCTCTAAAGCCAAATCTAGACAAGGGTCGTCTCTGCGGTGAGCAATAGCGAGTTAAAAGTTGCAATTAGAATAAACGATACGGTTGAAATGAAGCCACGATTCTCGTATTGTTCCATACCCCTGGTTCCTATGACTCTTTCTGCGGATTGCTGCCTGTCATAGCTAGCCTTTTATTTTACTTCTAGGAAGAATAAGGCCCAGCATCTCGACGATAACGCCAGAAAGCTGATTGTGTTGGGATATCATGTACAAACATCGTTAGTGTTTTTAATTCTTTTTTTTATGAAGGACTGCCAGAGTTTCTTTGCCCCCTTTTCGCTGCAACGTTTTAAAAGATGACTTCTGCCTGGTCAGGAAAGCGGAACGCGCTTGTTTATTTGTTTTGCTAGTTAATGATTTCGTTATAATTGCACGTATAATCAAACATAATAAATGAACAGCTAGTTAAAGTAGGAGCCATTATTCATATATGTTTCAACTAAAAATCAGATAACAGCTCTTGAGGTGTTTTGTCGGAAAGAAATGTCCAAAGATATCCGTGTGTCAGTGTATGCTTCTTGTTCCAAATCGAAGACACAATGACGTACATTACGTCGCTCTATAAATACGATTCGCTACCCTTCAAAAAAATCTCTGAGAGGATAATCAGTAGTCCCTATAATGACATTTCTATAAAACTCACTATCAGAATATATACATACATATATAGAGTGTTGATCTGTTGTCTACTATCGTTGCCGATGACGCGTCATCTTCTGAAATTTGTGGATACGATAGGCCGTATTATCTAGTCTCGTTAGTTATCGAAGGCTATAGCTACGACAGGCCTTCGCTAGATAACGAGGATGGCCACCACCGTGTGATATTTTCCTGCGTCCTAATAACATTATAGAGACAAAGAAAAGCATACTTATCTGCTTTATTTATTGATTACCTGAAACGCGGGATCTCTGTATTTCGGTGCGGGCGTTAACAGAGAAGGCTATCGTCTTCAAGCGGCCAAATAATTGTAGGACTATTGAATATGTCTACACGCGTATTCGAAATTGTGCCGTCTGCAATTGAGTCATCGTAATTGGAAATAGTGATGAAATCGATTGCTTAAGCAATATGCATCATATAGGAAATAGGATAGAATAGCTATAAGTATAATAACCACTCATGGCTAGCCAACGACAAACCCAAGACCAACCAGTCTCTACGCAACACTTGTGAGGAAACGATAGATATATATACCCCTATGTATAATAACAGTCACTGAAATGTAAAGTGCTGTTAAACCGACCATTGGATTTAGTCTATTATAAGCGTACGGTTTTCGTTCGTAACTATGACGATTCATTTTTGTATTATCTAAGTGAAACAAGTGCGCATGTTTCAACAAACAACAAGCGATTAGAATTTGTTATGTTTTGCAGTACTATTCGTTTTTAGCTTATTTCGTATAGATAAAATAGATAAACTTTTTTCCGATAAATTACTGTGTGTATTTACATTGTTCAGTAATATATATATTGCTTTTGTTCGATTTCAGTTTTACCTACCTGTACTGTGTGTGCAAGCCTTTGACTTCGTGTTTAACGCCGTCCGACTGAAGCCGATAATTTTTAATTAGAGATGCGGAAGCATCTTTCTACAGGGAGACATCTTGGCGGTTGGCATCTTCCTACGAAGTGTGTGTAGACACACCAAGCGGTCGAGTATCGATAACAGGAAACCGAGAGGGCTGCCTTTTATCCCCGAGGTCTTGCATTGGGTCTAAGGGTCTTGGGTCTCTCGAGACTGACGGAATGTCATTTCTCTTCACGGACCAGTAAGCGCTCGCGGTGCCTGAGGCGTTTGGTAGAGAAGCGAAGTAGCTCGAAACGAACTGTAATACGCTGACGGCAGTATGACCAAAATTGAAAATTTGGCCGCGGTTGATCGTATATGGGCCAGTGGCTTGCGTCCGAGGACGATAAGCAATGTAGGATATGTACTTTGGAAACAAATTATGTGAGGTAATAGGACGCTACACTGAAATGCTTAGTACTTATATATGAAGGCATATATAAGTATACGAAATTTAACTTCTCTTCGAAATGTAAACAGTATTCTGCGATTGTGTCCTTTTCCTCAGAGCTTTTAGCCAAGCCAGAAGAGCTACGCTTAACTTCAGACACGTCTTCAATTATGCCGTGCGGCGGACTATACAGATGGTTTCGAGTCGAACTTTCCTAATATTAGGTTATCGCCAAAATATTATGTCCATATCGTGTCATATATGTGCACATCAACAGTGCTTAGATCTTTTAATACATTTTTCGTATTATATTTGACATAGCGTGTTCCCTTGTGGATAGTACAGAATTAAACTGCTGTACAAGGAAACATTTCTGGGCATGGGTCTGTGATGATGAATAATTTGATGTGTGTACCAAAAATGTCCGTTATGGCGTGTTAATTTGGCATAGTGCCTTTACCCGTAACCGTGTTTCAGTTACTACGAAGGAAAGTTAAGGACAAAGGTATCAAACAAAACGACGATACCTTCAATTGCAAACGTTCTGCCTTTGAAGCTAAATGGGCGAACGAAATTCTGAGAAGCCGCTGATCTAAAGTAGAATCGTTTAGGAGTGACAGTTAAAAAAAAAAAAAAAAAAAAAAAAGATAAAGGTATGATAATTTTTCAACGTGGATCTGTCGCTACCGTTGCATTCCCTTTGTCATTTGCTAATGTACATCAACTGATCTAATTAGGTGAGCTTGTAATTAGCCGGAATCAAATTATACAACGGTATTACAAAATTTTCCTCAGGGGGCCAAAATCACGATTTTGGGTATTCTAGAATAAACAAAAGGCACTTCTCGCCTAGGATCTTACTGTAATCACTTTTTGTATTCGTATGATTATATCTACCAGTTTGAGCTGAAGTTGAAGTATTTGAGCTGGCTTCTAGTCACCTAGATTCTGCGCGTATATATATATATATATATTAGCTTCGGATCTTTGATTTTATATGGGGTCACGTGCCGTTTACCAGCAGCGTAATCACACGTTTACGTCGATTTTCATGAGGCTTATACAGATTCCCAAGGTAGATTGCCTTATTTTCAAGTCTATGCCACATACGTTCTGTTTCAAGTCCTAAAACCTGTTTGCAATATTGGATACATCCAGTGCCGTACGATACTGAAGAGAGCAGCTCTTAAACACACCCATTCACTCCCGTCCTGCGGCTAGTGGATCTACCCGCCACTTGGTCTTGTTCATTACAACGTTTTCCTTAAAAACATTCAACGGGTTTTCACGTCCTTTAAGCTTCACAAAAGATCCTGGAGAGCTGTTTACTTTCTCCTGTAGTGTAGGCTGCACCGCCAATTTAGCAGGAACGATAATATCTCTAGGGAGGCCATAGTCCTCCACGTGCTCATTGTAGAGCTGATTAGGACTTGAGTGTTGGAGATACGTTTAGGCAGTACCAACGTAATTTCCCGACAAATAGGCTAATAAATTGATTTTTCTTCCATCAAGCTCCAAATGAACTGGACGAAAGACAACAGTTGCAGGTACTAAGATAGAAATTTCATAAGGGATCATAAATGCTAATACCAAATTCTAAACCGTACTACAGATTTTTGCGTTTGGCTTAGTCGACCAGCGTTTCTATGTCATAATATGTAGCAATACTGATGATTCACTGTTTACTCTTAGAGCAAATAGCAGTAAACGACATTCATCTAACGGGGTTGTGAACAAACGACTTTTATTGAAAGACGCCAATGTGCATATTGTGCTTCAGTTACCGAGTCTTAACGTAAATATTACTCTAGTTTAATTTCTTAGTTTCGTCAAGTCTAGCACAAAACATTATGCTCTGATTGCTTAGCACATTTAGATCCGCCGGTTCGATACTACGGGAGAGCCACATTTCACAAAAAGAACGGGTACTTTTGAGCAGGTCGATGCTCTCACAAAATTATGATGTAAGGTATAATTACTATAAATGGTTCACGAAGCAGGGTTAATGCAGACATTTTTATTTTAATTATTTTTTCCTTGTCCTACGAAACTTCACAATCGGAACATTTCTTTTTTATTCCCTATGTTTTCAGCTTAATATACTGCAGAAAAAAAAGGGTCAATCTCTAAGACATTAAATGGTTATTGTCCTGCAACGCTCTAAGCTCAGGATCGCTCCGCTTTGAGTAAATGCAACCCCAGGCTAAATGCTAAGCAGAAAGGCAGCTTCCCATATTCAGATGAAGCCTGTTCAATTTGTATAAAGTCAGTCTCATTAAATTAACCCACCGACCGATTGTTACGTCTTCCTTTCAAATATTCCCCTAATTCACTATAGTCATTTATTTGCTCAGGGCGGCTACATTCCGAATCTAGAAGGCCGCGCTTGAAGCCACAACAATCGTCTCCTGTAAAACAGCTTACTGAGCTAAATCACCCCGGAAGATCTCGATTTAATGTTTATGCATCGCAGACTTTCGAGTTTTCCTTAGCTTTCCCCTGCACGTAACTTGGCTCCAAAGTATATGTTTAACGAAAGCGATTAACATGATTCAACGGTGATTACCCATAAGCCACGGTGAAATAAACAAAACTCCCAATCGACTTGACATTGAATTCTGCTAAGTTAACCAAATCAATTTATAAATAGTAAAAAACAATTACGAACGTAACAAAACTTCGATCGGGTTTCTATTTTTTACTTCTTAGATACAGTATACGATTATCTCATATATGGCATATTGCAAATACTAATTAGTTAAGCATATGGGAAGCATAACCGAAAAAGGCACGCACCACTTTGTCGGTGAATTGAAGTTTTTTCAATAGTTTAAATATATAGCAATACAATTTTAACGAAGTTAATTGTGCCGCCTACTAATGTAATAATTTTGATACTCGATAAAAACTTCACAGCAATTATCTTTGCCAGAGGAGAGACTGTACGTTGCTCGATGCACTACGTTCGGACTTCGCAACTTTAGTATTTCCCAGCCAATGTGGGGCTCGCGTCCACTTAACCTCAGTCGTTTTCCTCCCTTCCCCATTTTCACTGGGGGGAGATCATTTGCACATTACTTCGATGACATGGAGGCAAACTATCATTTGAACCCCCAGATTTTTCCACCTCTGTTCATTTTCGACTATGCGATCTACCAGCTAAGCTACCGATCCCGTTATAGGCGTCGGCGAATCCCCGTATGTGTGCTTGGAAACTGGGCATGATATGATCGTATGCGTTACATTGATCACCCTGCCAGCTGTCGCACATTGTGCAGGTTGGGTTTCTTTTTTATGTTATACAGCTAGTCCTGCAGGAATCGCGGCCCACTGTTACAGATAGCGATCCTTGCTTTTCCGAAGATTTGTCCTGCTACGCTTTAGCTCTATCGCTTTTTTCGGAGGCCAATCATAGGATGTGTTTTTTTTTTATCAATCGCTGATTTTTTCTAAAATAGCTCGTATTTTCTAAAATCGTTCTTAATCAAAGTATCTTTTTCCCACTAAGACGATTATGGCAAGACCATTTACACATACAATTGTTTGTATGCTCCTAGCCGGATAAGTTCCAAAAAGTTACCGTAGAGCATTTTCTGTTGTGGCGATTCTAGTATAGATCCTTAAGACACGTCTATTATCATGTTTTTAGCTCTTTCGTTAACATAGGAGGCAATTAGCCTTTGAAGTTACGAGGAGATCTTTTCTGTTTTAATAGTAACTAGAACGTTCTGCCAACTTACTGAGTTGAAAGCATTGTGCGCCTCTAGAAGGACCATTATGCACACTTGTTTCGACCGCTGCTTTCTACCGCCCTGTGTTTTCACTTCTTCCAAAATTTTTTCGACGGCCATTTCAATGGACCACTTTTTTCGAAAGCTATATTGAGTGTTCGAATATAGTTCTTCTCCTCGAGCTATGCTGTCTAATGATGACCGCTTCTAGGGCCTTTCTAATTGTATCTAAGACATAGATTAATCACCAGAACCTTGGTCAATAAGAAGTCCTCTTGCCCTGTGAGGGACAGCATCGTCCTTCTACATTCTAAGGAGTACCAAATTTCAGAAGACATCAGGTTTCTTCTGGAGGAAAACCTTCGTCGTTCGGCAAGGCTTGAGTGGCTAGGAAACAACCTCCTCTTCATCTCCTTAGCAGCTTTTTTAGAACCATCGGTTGTGACTTTTGAATTTTCTTCATGATGATCTTGCGAGACGCTTCTCACACGTCGATTTCCACTTTTTCACAAAACCCCTTCTTTCCTGACTGTCTTTCCTCTATGTCCGACTTTGTGACAGTTTGGAATCTTTGTCATGTCCCAGTACCATCTATAACTTTTCCTTGCCCTCATGCATTAGCGGCGTGTCCTATTGCGTGCTCTCCTTAGATCCGGGATCCCTCCCGTTAACTAGTGTGCGGAACGGTCCCTGCAGAATGTCTGTAGGTCGGATGACATTTTGCATCCTTTTGTTAGGACTTCTGACATCGACTTCGGTATGATATTATCATCGATGTCAAGTAACCTCGGCCAATTTTAGTCCCAAGCTTTAGCGTCATGCTGACTTGCATTATGTACAAACGGCCGGATTTTACTATATCATGTATGCCATATGCACCTGTGTCGTAGACAGTTGTAGATAGTGAAAATTAATTATTGTAAACAGTTAGGTTGTGTATACTTATCCAACAAAATCTCGACTATCTCCTTACTAATATACAACACCCGCATCTCCGCTAACGTTAAAGGTAAGGTTTCGTGTGTATGTATGGTTTGCACGGTCTCGTCAGCTGTAATTTTTAAATTTTAACAAGCGAAAAATTGTTTGAAAGCCTTTTACTAGGGTTATGAAGGATCGTTCAGCGTCGTAGTGGCCAAATGATATATTATATGTTATTTCATTTCTCTAATTACATCCAAGCCAGCCTTCAATAGATCCTCTAGTCCACACTCAATCTCAGTCTTTCTCCGCCACATTTGATCGGTTGTACGATTTCACACATGACTGTCGATCCTAGCTATCCTCTCGATCAAGAGAACAACATTTCGCTGACCGTGAAGACAGAAATAACTCTGTCTACATAAGATGACCGATGATGACCGACCGGACTGCTGAATGCTGGCGCTTAATAAGGTGAGCCAGCAATAAAATGCTCTCCGGGGGACGCTTTGTCATCTCGAGCTTTCTGAGATAGCAGCTCCTTGGGGCCTGCTGCCAGCCCAGCAGGGGCCGTTAGTTCAACCGACTGCAGGGCCGGTGTCAGTAGTACTGTACTCTTTGCTCGTAGGCTTGAAACGCTTAGGCGCTCTGAGCCTACCTTTTTCCGCAGGCGCTAAGCGACCTCTGGGTGGTATATGGAACAGACAGCAAGCAGAAACGAACGAAAAACAAAAAGGACTGCTCGCGCAGTAGGAGTAGCCGAGCAGCCCCTATTGGTGATGGTAATAACGATGATAACAATGAAGAGTGAAGCGAATGATGTGTTGACTTTAATAGGGACTAAGACCACTCCAGGGCTTTCAGTATATAGGGGGCGGGAGAATGGTGGAGAAGGTAAAAGGGTTCCGTAAAGACGAACAGAGGTTGAGGCGGCGGGAAAGAAGGGCCTTAAATGATCTCTTACGCCTGCCTCATTTCTATCTTTTAGACGAGTGGTAGCGTTCGAGGCACAATAGGACCAACTGACACAAACCCCAACTTACTCTGTCTTCAGCGTTCGATGCAGTGGAACGGCGCTCTCCCACAGCACGGAAGTCTACGTGCAAAGTACAGTGGGGTTCGCTTACTTGGGGATCTAGCTGATATCGCCTGGCTGCAGACACTCATTCTATTCGCACTC